TCTCCAGTCGCATGGCTTTAATTCATCTTCACGTGCCAGTGACTCCTGAATTTATATATTCAGCTCAGATCACTCTCCTAAAATGCAGATTTGTATATCCAGCTGCCAACTCTCTACCTTTTCTTGGAGTTATAAAAAAAACCATATTAGTCAGTTTATGATGCAATCATAAACAATCTGAATAGTTTAGTATAGTAGATCATAATGCTTAAGGCCTCTCCCTAATGGTAGCATAAGTCATCTCAGACACATGTCAAAACTGAACCTCCTGATTTTCTCCCCAAAATGACTCATCCTGCAGCCTTCTCCACCTCAGTTAATCACAATGCCATCCTTTGGAATACTCAGGTCAAAAAACCCAAGAGTCATTCTTGACTCTTCTTGCACTCCACACTTACTAGGCCAGGAAATTCTTGGGCTCTACCCTCAGAATATAGTCAGAATCTCCACTGCTATCTCCCTGACTTCAACCACTGTCATCGTACCTGGATTGTTGTAGTAGCCTCCTAAAGGAATTTTCTGCCTCTACCAATGCTGCCATATAGACTATTCTTTGCAAAGTGGAGAGCTGTCCTTTTAGAATATAAGATCATATTGCTCTTTTGCCTTAAACCCCAAAATAATGACTTTATATTTCACTTTGAGAAAAAGCCAAAGTCCCAAAGTGGCCCCTTTTTTAGACAGTCTTACTCTGTTGCTCTGGGTAGAGTGCCATGGCACCATCATAGCTCAAAGCAACCTCAAACTCCTGGACTCAGTTGATCCTCTTGCCTCAGCCTCCCGAATAGCTGGGACTACAGCTGCCCACCACCACTCCCTGCTAGTTTTTCTATTTTTAGTAGAGATGGGGTCTCACTCTTGCTCAGACTGGTCTCAAACTCCTGAGCTCAAGCAATCCACCTGCTTCAGACTCTTAGAGTGCTGGGATTACAGGTGTGAATCACTGCATTAGGCTCCCAAAGTGACATTTAAGGCCCTACATGGTCCAGCCATCCATTACCTCTGACCTGACCTCCTCCCACCCCTGCTGGCCCTCTCCTCTTTGCTAACCCATTAGACATGTTCCCACTTAGGCTCTTTGTCCTGACTATATACCCTGTGCCCCAAGAGCTTTTTGTCTACATTCTCACATGGCCAATACCTTCATTCTTCCAGCCTTTGTTCAAGTGCTACCTTCTCTCGGAGCCCACACCAACTACCCTACCCCAACCTACCCCCAGCTACCCACCCTGGTTCTTCTTACAATGCTTTTCTTTCTCTTTTATTCTTAGTAATTATTACCTTCTAACATACGGCTTTCTAATAATTTTAGATGTTTATTATTTATTTTCTGTCTTTCTCCCTATCGGGTAACTCCAAGAAGGCAAGCGTCTTTATCTGATTTGTTCACAAATATAGGCTGAACTTTACAACAATGCTCAGTATATAGAGGTGTTCACTAAGTATTTACTAGCTAAATAATAGATACAAATGAAGGACAAAGGCCAAAATAGACAAACAAGAAGGCACTAAAAAGAAACAGAGATGATACATTAAAATTATCATTAAGATCTTCAATATAAGAGAATAAATTGCATCTATGAAACAAAAAAAGTGATGATTTAATAGCAACAACCAATAAAAAAACCAAACAGAAGCAAAGTAACTTCTTGGAAATTAAAATTATATCTGAGCTTCCTCTTCCCCTAAGCAGCCTGAGCTGATCTGTGAAGATGGTTCACTTGACCCAGAAAATCCCACAAAGTCACTCAAGTAGTTCAAATCTTCATGTTCACTTTAAAAACATAAGTGAAACAGCTTAAGCCACCAAGGGTATGCATATATGAAAAGTCACCAAGCATCTGAAGGATGTCACTTTACACAGTGTGTGCCATTCCCATGTTACAATGGTGGGGTTGGTAGGTGTGCCCAGGCCAAACAGTGGTGCTGGATGTGGGGTCGGTGGCCCAAAAAGGGTGTTGAATTTTTGCTGCACGTGCTTAAAAATGCAGGGAGTAGTGCTGAACTTAAGGGTTTAGATGTAGATTCTCTGGTCATTGAGCATATCCAGGTGAACAAAGCACCTGAGATGCATCACCAAACTTACAGACTCATGGTCACAGTAAGCCCTACATGAGCTCACCCTGCCTCATCTACACTATCCTTACTGAGAAGGAACAAATTGCTCCCAAACCAGAAGAGGAAGTAGCACAGAACAAAAAGATATCCCAGAAGAAACTGGAAGAACAAAACCTTATGTTACAGGAATAGATGCAAAAGGGCAGCGCCTGTGGCTCAAGGAGTAGGGCGCCAGCCACATATAGGAGAGGTAGCAGGTTCAAAGCTGGCCCTGGCCAAAAAAAAAAAGATAAGAATAGATGCAAATAACAGTAAAAGGAAAAAATAAAATTATATTTGAAAAAATTTTAAAAATCAATCAAGTTAGAAATTCCTCAGAAAGAACAGAGATCTAAAATATGAAAGTCTGAAGATAAATGAAAACTAGAGGATCAGTTCAGAAGGTCAACACACAGCTAATAAATATTTTAAGAATGGAAGAATAGAGAAAATGAAGAAAAGGAAGTTGGGGAAAAAAATAATATTAAAAAAATATTCTAAGACAGAAGGGCATGAACTTTTAGGCTGTGAAAAAGGTTTCCCTGGGTTCAGCACCATGAAGAAAAATGCTTGCAGCAAGCACAACGCCATTCCCACCTCAGAACGCTGGGGTAGGGGCAAATCCTAAAGTTTTCACAATTTCCAAACAAAATATCAGAAATCAGAGAAGTAAAGAACATCCCAACAGCATCAATGGACACTAAAATTTTTTCAAAATTCTGAGGTTAAGGATTTTTAACTTAGAAATATATGTGTAATCAAGCCAGGGGGAAGGTAGATTCAGACATGGAAAGTCTCAAAACCTTGCTAACCATCTACCCTCTCTCAGGAAGGTCTGGAGAGTGTGTACCACCAAAATAAGACAGAAAACTAATAAATAGGAGAACATGAGATCCAGGAAATAAGTGATCCAAGTCAGGAGGTATAAAGGAAATTTCCAGAATGGTGACAGGATGTCCCAGGATAAGAGCAGTGCACCAGGACCAAAAGGCCCCCTCCAGACTGGAGCTGAAAGGTGGGGAACTCAGGCAGAAATGAGTCCAAGAAAAAAAAGCATTAACTTACCTTAATGAAGTGATAAAACATAACTCCGTAAATGGGGTAAGGAAAAGAGGAAACGAAGGAGCAGGAAATTCTTCCTTCCATAAAAAGGAGTCAGTTGACAATACCTAAAATTGGCTGATCAATAAATAGCAGTGAAAGCATAGTGTTTAGCCATTTGGAAGTAAACACTCCAACTGGTAGTCAAAATGGAAGCCAGTGGCTCTCGGTGGGGATAGATGGGGTAAGGGGAGGTTAGGACAAGGAAGACTTGCATGTCGTCATTAGACTTATAATCCCACTTATTTCAGATCATGTAAATGTATTCCTCTGATAAAAATAAATATTAATTTTGAGGCATTCTACATACTGGCACCAAGCCAGTATTTTTCGCTTGCTATAACCATAAGGATTCAAAGATAAGTGAAATGGGAATGACTTCTCCTGTGGTTCATGTTATTTAAAATCAAGTCTGTATACCTCTTAAAAGTATCACCCGTACTACCAGGGGTCGTTATTCCACGCTTTGACGCCTGGGGAATAGTCTATAAAATCCTCCTTGGGGCAAATGGATAACCAAGAGACCAGTGTTGTCATCTCAAGGACCAGGACCTACCAAAATTGATTCAAGATGTAATAAAAAGCCTGACTAGTCCAATAATCATTAAACAATGCAAGTCCCATAATTTAAATTTTTCCACAAGAAAAATATCAGTCCCAGATTATTTTAAAAGCAAGTTCTACACAATTCTGAAGGAATACGCTTTTCTAACCTTATTAAAATTCTCTGAGAAAGGAGATAGAACAGAATGCTTCCTCCAACTCATTTGCAAGTGGTACAATCTTGACATCAAAATCAAACAAAACCATATAACAAAGGAAGAATATAGGCCAACTTCACTCATAGACATAAATGAAAAGTCCCAAAATATTACAAAAGAACCCAGCAAAGCATCAATGGTAATACATGCAATGTTTTCTGTTTTGTTTTGTTTTTGAGATAGAGTCTCACTCTGTCATCATCGCAGCTCACTGCAACCTCTAATTCCTGGGTTCAAGCAATCCTCTTGCCTCGGCCTCCTGAGGAGCTGGGACTACAAGTACTTGCTACAGCACCTGGCTGGTTTTTCTATTTTTAGAGACCAGCCTTTTGCTCAGGCTGGTGTCAAACTCCTGAGCTTAGGCGATCCACCCACCTCCACCTCTCAGAGTGCTAGGATTACAGGCGTGAGCCATCACAAGTGGCCAACATGCAATGTTTTTGAAAGCACTTAATTTGGGAAGATGAAATAGAAAGGAAGCCCTCACATCTTGTAGCAGGCAAATTCCTGGTGTTCATGGTGGAACATTCTGTGTGGGTCTAAAAAAGCAAGGATAAAAAAAAAAAAAAAACCGCGAATCTGTGTGGACTGGCAAGCTTTCTAATTGTTACCGGTTTCTGATGTTAGGAAATGGCTCATGGAGGAATGGGCAGCGGATAATACTAATCCACCTCTGCTCTGAAGTAGAGAAAGTAATAAAGATAGAAAATCCTAGTACATCTAATCCAAGTTGAGACTGCTGGGCTGGAGGGGGCCTCTTGGACCAAGCTGTCATGAGAGACATAGCAGTCTCTCCTAAGATCTCAGCCTTTTCTGTAAACATACCCTGCAGAATTTGTAGTAGAGGTGGGTAAAGCCTTGATGCCCTGGACTCTTCAAGCTTCCTGGACCACGAGAAAGCTCTTGGCTGTAAAGAGTGGTTTGTTATAACCAGATCTTGCAAATGAATCTAGGGTATTCTCCATAGCTCTTGCCCCTAGTCAGAAATTGTGAATCTGTGGCAGACACAGATCCCTGATGGGTACAAGAGGCAGTACTTACTGTGCACGAAATATTCTCTCAAACTCTAGTGACCCAGTGACTGCTGGAGGTGTAACTTTGTATTTTGATCTTGCTTTTCCAACATGCAAAGCAAAATAACCTGTAAGCAAAGGAGAATGTTTTATTAAAGATGTGGCACACCTTAGTCATTAGTTAGATGCAAATTTAGGCCACAATTAGATACCACTACATACCTATCAAAAAGTCTAAAGTTCAAGAGACAAATCATATCAGCTGGGCCTAGTGGCTCATGCCTGTAATCCTAGCACTCTGAGGTGGGTGGATACTTGAGCTCAGGAGTTTGAGATCAGCCTGAGCAAGAGCGAGACTCTCATCTTATTAAAAAGATAAATGAACCAGGCATTGTGGCAGGCATCTGTAGTCCCAGCTACTTGGGAGGCTGAGGTAAGAGGATAGCTTGAGCCTAAGAGTTTGAGCTATGATACCATGGTACTCTTTGAGCTATGAGCTATGATACCACAGTACTCTGACTCAAAAAAAAAAAGAAGACAAATCAGACCAGTTGAAAAAGACAGACAAACAAAGATCTAAGAAAAACTGGAACTTTCATACACTGCTAGTGGGAATGTAAAATGGTATAAGCACTTCAAAAATCAGTTTGGAGGGATTCTTTCAGTTAGACATACATCAACCATATGACTCAGTTGTTCCATGAAATGATACGTTCATACAAAGACTTGTACACAAATGGTCCCAGCAGCTTTATTTGCAATAGCCCCAAAGTAGGAACAACTTTGTGATGGTTAATTTTATGTGTCAACATGGCTACGCTATGGTGCCTATTTATTTCACCAAATACCAGCCTAGATGTCTCTGGGATGTGATTAACATTTAAATTGGTAGACTCTGAGTAAAGCTAATTACCCTCCATAATGTGGGTGGGCCTTATCCAATCAGTTGAAGGCCTTAAAGAGGTAAGACTGAGGTCCACTGTAGAGGAAGGAATTCTGCCCCCAGTTCTGCAACATCACCTCTTTCCACAATTTCCAGGCTGCCAATTTGTTCTTCAGATTTTGGACTAGCCAGGTTCCACAATCACATATGCCAATAAATCTCTGTACAGGTCAATGTGTATGTGTTGTGTGTGTATGTGTCTGTGTCTGAGTGTGTATATTGATTCTGGATTCTGTGTGTAAATCTCTGTACGAGTCAATGTGTGTGTGTTGTGTGTGTATGTGTCTGTGTCTGAGTGTGTGTGTTGATTCTGGTTTTTTGGAGAATCCTGACTCATATGAATGTTCATCAATGAGTGAGTGGGTCGGCCAGGCACAGTGACTCACACCTGTAATCCCAGCACTCTGGGAGGCCGAGATGGGCAGATTATTTCAGGAGTTGGAGACCAGCTTGAGCAAGAGCAAGACCCCATCTCTAAAAATAGTCAGGCATTGTGGTGGGCACCTATAGTCCCAGCTACTCCAGAGGCTGTGACCAGAGAATCACTTGAGCCCAGGAGTCTGAGCTTGCTGTGGGCTATGAAGCCGCAGGACTCTACTGAGGGCAACATAGTGAGATTCTGTCTCAAAAAAAAGAAAAAAAAAGGTGGGTAAAGAAAGTGTAATACATGCACACAATGGGACACTACTCAGCAGTAAAAAAGGAATGAACTACTGAAACACAAAGCAACATGAATGAATCTCAAAATAATTATGCTGAATGAAAGGCAGAATTTTAAAAAGAGTACCACTATATGATTGCATTTATATAAAATTCTCATAAAGGGAAATGAATCCATAGTGACATAAAGCAGACGAGTGGTTGCTTGGATATGAGAAGGAAGGTTGGGGGCAGGGCCTGACTCAGTTTCCCTGTTATTAAATGGGCTGACTTTCTTCTCTCTCATTTGCTGTTTGGAAGTTGCATTAGATTATCGACCCTGACCCCCACACGGCCTTCGTCTGATGATTGGCTCTGTGGACCCCTTTCACTCTCCATCCATACTTCCCCCTTTGTCAGTCTCTGAACATTCAGTAGTTCTTGTCTCCTGTCCTTATCTTCCTACGTTTCACCCTATAATTACCTTGTGGGGTCTATTATTCCCCTTCAGATTATTTCTTCAGTGTTACTTTCTTACCCATTCTCAGTACTATTCCCTGTCTCACATATGTTAGTACTTCTATATCCATTTCCTACTCGCTAATGTTTTAAAAATGGCCCCCTTTTAAAATCTCATACCAAGTTTGTAGTGTCAACCTCTCTGTGTGTTAGAGCAGTAGGGGCAATGCTTTCCTACCAACACAGGATACTACTTTCCCTCTGACAAAGTCAGTCAATATCGATCCTGGCTTGGCAAGGGCTCTCCAAGCAGGCCGCTTTCCTTCCACTGATCTCCTTCTGCTCCAAATAAGCTGTTGTTGAGGATTTAAAAGCTGTAGCTGAATATCTATCTAAAGTGTGTCAATGCTTAGGACAGGAGTCTTTCTCATCCTAACTGCAGCCTGAGGGAGCAGAGTGAGGATAAAGACAGTGGGAGAACAGAGTGTTTTCAGCGCTGGGTTCCTTCCTTCTAGGGCAGCATAAATCTGGAGAGGCCAATGGCTCAAGGGCCCAGCTCAAGCCAAAAAAGGGGGTGAATCTATTAAGGAAGCATCTATTAATCTATTAACCCTAACCCGCTGTTACCATCACTTCTAACTTGCTTCAGAGTCTTGGAGAAAACACTTGCAAAGTCTTATTTCCACCTATGAAATAGAAACAGTGAAAGATGTTGAAAAGTGTAAGCAGTGGCACCCAGAGACAAGACCTGAGTGGAGACCAAGGCAGTGGCGCCCAGAGACAAGACCTGAGTGGAGACCAAGGCAGTGGCGCCCAGAGACAAGACCTGAGTGGAGATGTTCAGACCAAGTTTATTGGAAGGTGAAGGTGACCCGCGTGGGCAGTGCAAAGATGGCATCTGCGCCCAGGGGCTGTTAGAGTTCTCTTTTATATGGGGCTGTAGGGATTGGGAAAATTCCATAGCTAGCCCAGAAATTTAGGGTCCTTTGACGTGACCTTTGGCAGTGGGGCTAGTCAGAGCCTTTGTGTCTTTGTCTTAGGAGGACAGAAGGAGGAGGACATTTAGGGATGTTAGGGGCCCCCCCCAATGGATGTGTGCTCTTAACTTTATAAATTAAGAATGACACAAGAGCCTAGAGCTCCAAAATGAAGCTGTGAACAAGTAAGAGCTTTGAAGGTGCAGTCTTTCTCTAGGCTAATTGCACCTGGCAGGTTTTTGTCTGTGACACTAGCAAATGTGAGCAAAGAGCTTCAGTAAGAGGCAGAGGAGTTTTAATACACCCACCCATCCAACCCAGCCTCAGGAAGGAAGACTCAGCCGGGCTCAGCACTAGCCCCAAGGGGTAGAAACCTCCTCTTCCCCTGAAACCGCCCTCTCTAAAGTTAATAAAGGACCATACATGGGAACTGTGGTAGGGGAATATATTTAGGTGGTTATAACCAGCCATTGTGCCCCATGTGCTTTCCTCTAATTGCTTATGTTAGCTAGGTAGTTAGCAATGGCTGTCCTAGGAAGGAGGACAGGCAGGGGTCTCAGGCCCATCTTGGTGCCACCCATCTTAATTCTGTCCCATGTGATTGCTCACATCTGAAGAGGAGGAATTGAGATGGTGCGCCAAGGGTCCAACTCTCCCCTTTTCCCCCTTCCTGCAAGAAACAAAGAAGGGACAAGAAGCCTTGGGAAACACAGGATAAGCCCTTGCTGACTCCTTGGGAACACGTGCAGGCAGGATAAGGTCATGCTGACCTCTTTGCAGTTAAAAATATTTTTTGCATAACTATTACTTTGCTTAACCAAGTAACTGCAAGTGCCGTAAATCTGCTTTTGTAGGTGCCAATCACAGAATCCAGTGGCTTGCTTGCTCCGTCATCCAACCTATAAAAACTGTGCATGATGGGCAGCCGGTGGCTCAGTGAATAGGGCGCCAGCCCCATATACCGAGGGTGGTGGGTTCAAACCCGGCCTCGGCCAAACTGCATCAAAAAAGGAGCTGGGCATTGTGGCAGGTGCCTGTAGTCCCAGCTACTCAGGAGAAAGAGGCAAGAGAATCACCTAAGCCCAAGAGCTGGAGGTTGCTGTGAGCTGTGATACCATAGCACTCTACCGAGGTAACAAAGTGAGATTCTGTCTCTTAAAAAAAAACAAAAAAAAAACTGTGTGTTAATCCTGGTCTAGGCTGCTCTCCACGTGTAAGGTAGCCAGCTGATTGGCCTGTCTAAATAAAGGTTCCTTATTGGCATTTTAAAGATGATTTCCGTGGTGGTCGTTTTGCTCACATCATAATAGAATCACTCTACCAATCTACCAATCAGAACTTAGTGTGCCAACTTCAAAAGGACGTAGAATATTCTGTAGCCTAACAACAGGTACTAAAGTCTTAAAGGTAAGAACAGCCTTCAGGCCAATTAGCATGTGGTCCACCCCTCCCACCCCCACCATGGGTTCTCAGAGAGGCTCACGGGAGGTCCACATGCCCTGTTAAGATTCTAGTTCCAAGATGACCCCTGAACCACGAGGTAGGCCTGACCTAGGTAGTATAGAAGAGAACCACCAGCCATATTGCTTACCTCCTTGCCTTTTCTTTGTCCTGACAATGGGAGCCTGTTTTTCTGTTGATGGTGAACATATCCTGCTTTGTAAACTTTCTTATGCTGTAAATCTATCTCAATTAACTATTTCATGCTTACCTTACTTTGGGGTATCTGGTCAGTTTTTAACCAAGAGCACTCCAAAAACCAACATATTAGAGAACAGGCAACTGCCTTGAAACCAAGTTGTATATAATATCCAAAAGTGTGCTTCCCACAGGCCTGCGGTCACTAAGGTGAGGCCCAGATTGCTATGCAAGCTGTTAATAGTTAATAAACCTTTCTTTTCTTGCTAAAACTTTACTGGCTCTTCTACCTTGAGCCATCATCATGCCTCCTAAGACTTACTACTCAGGAGTCACAAAGCTGATGATCATAAAGATTCTTTTCAATCACCCTTGTCAAACCTAAGGCTAGCTTTGAGACATCTATCCTGCCTTCTGGTAGACTGGCTTACTCACACCAGCAGCCCATACCAAGGAACTGACTCAACTGGTC